GACTGACTTTTCCATTGGAATCTCTGATTCTGAATTACAAAAACTGCATTGGAAGTTAATCTAAAGGCGATATTGAAACGTTGATTTAATATGCATAACTAGATCAGAATCTAAAGGTAACGGAATATTCCAGCACTGCGGCCAAATGCTAAAGTTTTCTTGTTCAATGAATCCCATAAGTCCATTTGAATCGAGAGCATGAATAATTGACTTTTGAAAGTGCATCATAACGTTCAATGCGAGAAAACAGACATCTTGAAGACTTAACTCCATATAACCGTTCGATTGAAACTTAATCCATAAACAACAGTCACACTGTATCAGTCAAATTAGAGCGAATGTACCTCTTATTGAATTCTTTCCCCTCCAAGGCAAGAAAATCGGATCCGGGTTTGAGAATACCACAACTAGTCGCAATTGATCGTGCGGTATTGATATTATCGCCAGTCACCATACGCACAGTAATACCAGCTTTCTGACATTTCTCTATAGCTGCTGGCACCTCTGGCCTCACCGGGTCTTGGATTCCAATTACAGCAATTGCTGTCATACCCATTCGAACGGCCTCTTCGTTATCCCAGTCGATTTCTTTCTCGAACGATACCTAATTGAGTGATGTTTACCGATTGGATTGAACCAATGCTGAATTGATCACGTTACAATCTCTCATACGAATCAGTAGTGTTTCAGCTATTCCTACTCAAATGAATGCCAATAGTTCACATTCGTATTCACTTCATTTATCGCCGCGCTTGTAGTGCTTGGGATGTAGTCCTTGTAGGCCAAACCTATCGTTCGTAGACCATCAGATGCCATTGGTTCAATCACGTTACGTGTCATCGCATCTAGTTCACGTTTACCGAAATGCTCCACGCTACCTTTCGCAGCGAGTACGAAAGAGCATCTGAAACGAATGTAGAAGTTTTCATCACTGAATCCATCACATTAGCGGAAATTGCTGATGGAATTGTTCACATCAGAGAAAGTATTAGCCGCTGGATAATCTCATTGCTGAAAATTCATAAACGTCTGCAATTTTCATACAAACCACTCACCTTGATAAAATTATTTCAGATGCACCTTTTGCATACACCCGAAAACCACCATCGGATCGTTTCACTACGGTCATCATTGACTTCCGAACAGAATTGAACGTGTACACCTGAACAGTGGCATTGCCTTCTAATCATTTGATTGTATTGCATTCGGAAACTTATTCGTCTCACTTTTCCACATGTCTAGTTCAAACGCGAGAAAAAACAACCCCCTTTTTCCTCTTCCGTGTAAAGAATCAGGGGAATGCGTTTGCAAAAGGTAACATTCTTTGATGGAGCGATATACGAAAGTCACAAACCTTGACAAGTGAATCTTCCGGATGTTCTTTGCGAATCGCAACAAAACTTTTTCCTAAATCTAATATAAATCCGAGGAGAGCGCATTCGGTTTTGTTGCCCAACTGCAATTTCAGAAATTCAATCTCTTCAATAAACGGATTACTGTGATCGGAAACAAACTTCAAATAGTAACTACGTAGACGTGTTTTTAGTGTAATCCGAAAACATAGGAAAAATCTGGAAAACTAAGACGTCAAATACATTTAAGAATAATTTAGAAGGCTTGAAAGAGAACACGTAAGAAAATCAATGTGTGACAAAAGTCATGCAGCTGACAGAGACAAAAGCGCGGAATTCATTCCAGAATCAGTGAATTTGATNCACTTGCATTGCAACCCTACTACGACGACAATTGATCGTTCATTGCAATTAGCTGTGCTTAGATTCACCTGTTTTCGTTGTCCACCAGGCTGATCAGGCTCGACTACCTGCGAGTTGTAGCCACTATTGATGGCAATACCATCCACTAGCAACTCTCTGGTATTTTGATCGAGTTGTTCATATTTAGGCGTGACATCCTTGTAGAAAGTCTCTGAATAATTACAGTTCTCGTAGAAAATGCATAATATATCCGCTGTTCAATAATCAAAATCCAGTGATGAGTAGGAATCTGATATGCAAAGGTGAAACATCAAGAGCAGTACCACTATTAATTGTTCGTTGTTTTGAGGGATGAACAAACGTGAAATTAGATTCCGTGAGAAACGCAACGGTAGACAACAACAATAAGAACTGGTGAATTTACCGTTGATATACGACTGTACGGCAGTCATTCGGTTAGTTGTTAACGTTCCGGTCTTATCGGAACAAATTGCAGTAGCATTTCCCATGGTTTCACACGCATCCAAATGTCTTACCAAATTGTTATCTTTCATCATCTGAACTATGATTATCACACACTGCTAATTTCGACATTTTCATCAAATTGACCATTCAACTCATTCCTCTGAACAATTTTTTTCAAACGAAATGTCCGTCGTTTGAAACATTCTCGTTTCAGTAGTTGTTTCAATTTTCATATTTGAGATGTGTTACGATTGTTGTTTTTGATTCAAAAAAAAACCATTCCAATTGTTCTTTGCAATCGAATTACTTATCAAATCGAGCGAGTATTTTATGACTGTTATTAGACTCGATTTGCGTCATAGGCATGGGTTTGCTGATTAATGACGCAAATGAAGCTCTTATCTCATCAAATGTACTATAAATATTCTTTACTGTTTTTGAGCGTAACGCGTGTGATCGGTGCTTACGATGTTAAATTTGCTATTTTTTATCTACTCTCTTATTGCATAGAGACATTCGGCTTTTGTCGACCTTCAAAGAGGTTTCGAAGCTATCAATCAAATGTCGCCTATCATACATCGTAACTGCGTCTTATTTCTGAGCATTAATTTCGAATACGGCTCGGAAATGACACACACTAGAATTGCCGGAATTCGAGCCGGAATCAACAACACAGGTCTGCAAAACACATTTCCGCAAATTGAACGAGCTGAGAGACTTCAGTTGTTGTGCTTCACTCGAAAAAAAAAACGAACCTTTTTCACCGAATACGTCAACGACAACGTGATGGCCAGAGGTAGACCTTCAGGAACGGCGATGACCAGCACAGTAACACCGACAATGATGTAATTGACAAAGTACGCAATATCGGACGTTTCGAACGGTTCATGTCGAATCGCGTAATGCGTTATACAGTGATGAATGATCAATATAATAACCGTTGCTCCCGNAGCACAGTGACACCAACAATGATGTAATTGACAAAGTAGGCAATATCGGACGTTTCGAACGGTTCATGTCGAATCGCGTAATGCGTTATGCAATGATGAATGATCAATATAATAACCGTTGCTCCCGATACAACAAATCCTGCAGTGATTACGCCGTGAGAGGGCTGATCGTCGCAATCAGTTAACCATCAAACATTTCTTAAGCATCTTCTGATTCATATCGCATCCGATATCGTTCACACATTTACAGTCACTCACCCACTGCACAAATGCTTGAGCGTGCTTGAGCCGAGTAAAATTTTTATTCGTATTTTGCTCGCCTGTCTTCGGATGATTGCTATGACATATTGTGCGTTTATTTTGAGACGATTTTTTTCATAATCTTACTCTCAGCAGATTGAAAGTTTTCTGCTGTCATTAGAATAGTGAAAATTTTAGGGCTTAATAATTGCTACTGAACGATAAGAGGTGTGCATATTTTCAAGGAGAGAGTTGAGATAATCAAAGTGAGAATATATATTTCAATTGCATGCAAATAAATTATGCGTATCGATGCTTCCGTAATGAAACAGCTGCTTGAATGCGCCATTTTGAAACAACTTACCAATATAACCGATTTGGATGGCGAGTGCTGAGAGTTTTCCTTGCAGAACAGATTTGGCCACTTTTCCGTCGTCCTCTTCCTGTTCCACTGAATGTTTCTTTTCACCAACTTGAACACCGTTTACGGATATTCGTCCTGTTCAATTGAAAATTATCGATATGTGGGGTGATCATGTTATAACGCGATCACTCTTAACTAATGGCTCATTCATGAGGCATTTCCATACTGCCATAGTTTCAGTACTCCCACTAACCACCCTCTATTGCTAAGGCACAGTATAGGTACCACAACTAGTTTTGAAATCGTTTTCCGAAAGCATCTGTCAATATGAGTTAATAAATATGACCTTCATTACTTCAACAATCATGAGGCGAACGCCGGTATTCGAAAAATCGATAGCGATGAATTCTGCGACATTTTGGACTTTAGACTGACTTTGAGAGTAAACGAGAAATCCGGAAAACATTCAGTTGTTTCTCATGGAACCCTTCGAGGAGGTGAAAAAGCAAAATGATTGATGGTGAAAATAAATCCAGATGAACCGTTGGCTTGATCCTCTGGAGCAATAGAATTTGAGTTGTTCTTGTTGCTATTGTCATTTTTCGTTGCGCCCAGCAATGACATAATGATACCAGTTTGCGAATTAACACCAACCGCTGTTATCAGCATCCGACCGCTTCCCTCCATGGCATGTGTGCCTGCAGAAAACCTCCCTTCACCTCAGACTAATTACTGACCAACAACTAATACTTTCAGCTAGAAAATAAAAGTATGTTGAATACGCTAAAATTTCCACCTTATTGCATCAATTACATGGAAATGTTAATGCAAAATATCCATGTTCGATGAATTGTTTTGTCGAAGAGATAAATTTGTGAGGCAGCTTCCGGAGAGTTTTCATCACTGCGATTCCCGTAGAGCTTGCGGTTATTAGGCAACTATCTCAATCCCTTCAATGCAGAAATGTAAATCGGTAACCTGATAAAAGAATCGGATCACCGTCAGGACTTTTCTTGATCAAGTCTGATTCACCGGTCAGAGAGGATTCATCGATTTTCAAGTCATTACTTTGCAACAGAATGCCATCAGCTGGTAGCAGATCGCCTAAATNTGTTTTGTGTCTGCTTACCCCTCAAAATAATTCGAACAGCATTCGGCTGGTCGAATGAATCGATAACGTGTTCAGCCAGGAAATCAATGCTCTTGTGAGTCAGTCAGGAAATGAATATATTGCAAAGTCATTATCGCTTTGTGAATCGTCATATTTGAAATTCTAATATATGTCATCATTTTGATTCGAACCATAAAATGAAGAGCACTTTGAGGCTAGATTCATTCGATTTCACACTGACCCGCCGCCTCTCAACACGTAATTTTGAAATGCTCTCTGATGAATCTATCTCATCACCACTGACTGAGGCATTTTTATAGCTAAACGGAATGTCATTTCATTCACCTACTAAACCATCGAATCATCCGAAGGAATGGGATGTGTATTGGAATAATTAATGCGAAATTTCGTAAGGATGAAATCATTTCGTATTAGTCATTCACATAAAAAAATATCCTTGTCTTATTTACGACAAGTGAGCGATGAGCTAGCCGATCTGCAACGGTGATTGATCACAAGCAATCACCGTTTGTGACAACACATAACATTTCTCAAGTGAATCACTTGAATGATCACTTTCAAATCAGCTCATCATTCAAGAAAAAACAACGTCTCTAAGAACTCACCATACTTAACACGCGCAATATCGCCCACAACCAATTCATTCACAACTATATCAATTGGCTCTCCATTGCGAATCACCGAAAATTTGTGTTCTGTTTCGATTTTCGATTGTAAACCTGAACGATTGCGATTGCAAANGCGCTTTGCATTTCGCGTTGCACATATTTTTTACTCAACAATGAATTATATCCACATGTTCATGCATTCATCATTAAGCGATGATGTGCTATCCGTATGACATCAGTAAGAAAGAGTCGGCTGATTTTGAGCAAAAATGAGCGATTAAACAGTCTTCTCAAAGATCAATCTATTTGCAGGAGAGAATTTTTGGATTGCTTCGGCATTTACCTCGGAACTGCTTCTCTTTACTCCAATCATTCAACGCGGTCACAAGCACAACCACAATAACCGCCACCAAAATGGCACATCCCTCGATCCAACCTGCTTCATGCTCACCAGAATCATTTCCACCTGAAAATTCACGATGAACGAAAACATTCTCTAAGTTACATTCATTCCCTGTGTGACACGAGTATTTTCCGCTATGTGGCCTTTATTGTTCAATTTTATTTTCAACATTTTTGTACTAATAACCAGCCAGCTAATGAGATTGCTAAAATTCATTGAAAGTTTCATACTGGAATGGAATATAACTAGTACAAGACTGTAGTTAGACCATATTGAATGAATTCTGCGAATGAATGTGAGATGATTG